CAATCACGAGAGGATAAGGTCAAACCCCATTCTGGATACTCCTCCCCCCACTATGAGAAGAGGCGTATCAGGTAAGTACCAACGCCCTCTTTCCTAGATCCTCAAGGAAGTTCCAGAGTAGTTAACCTGAATGGACTCAGAGCTGACTTCAACTGACTTTAAGTTTAATATCCTATTCTTCATCGGTGTTATTGTTAAAAAGATTTTATTCAGGCAGCTGAGTGTGGTCCAATTATTTCTGAATTTGATTTTCAGTTCCACATTTTCCAAATAACTCAGAAAATTATTCAGTGATTCAGTGGAAGATATAAATGTGTCTATGATTCTGGGTTATAACTGCTGGAACATAAAATGTTACTCAGCAAACAGAAATAACTTGTAACTGAAACATTAATAATGTAAATTTGTTACTGCGAGCAGAACAATTTTAACATTTATGATGTTTTGTGTATGCTTTCGAAGAAGCTGACACAGGCAGTTGATTTTCGACCATGGTTGGGAGGAGGATTTCCATTGCTAAGCCAGGGAATTGTTGAGTCATGCCCAGTCTTACCATCTTTTTGTCATGGTTGTTAAGTGAGTCATGTGGTCATTAAATGAATCCAATTAGTCTCACTGGCATTGCTTGTTGGAAGTCGGCTGGGAAGATCACAAATGGCAATACATAACCCTGGGATGGTGCAATTCTCATAAATATATGCCAATTGCCAAGCGCCCAAATTTTGATCACATGATTGTGGAGATGCTGAGATGATGATGTGCAAGGACCAATCATAAGTAACGTTTTTTTCAGTGCCGTTGTAACTTTGAGTGGTTGCTAAATGAATGGTTGTAGGTGGAGGACTATCTGTATCACATGTAGGCAATATCATAAAATATTATACGTAGTAATGTTTTACCTGTAAATGACTTCTTCTCTTTTAATCGCAATAATATGTGCTGAAACAACCTTTTTAAACACAATGTAAATCGTTCTAAACTTGACTGTAAAAAAATATGATTTCTGTAATAGAGTTGTCAAAGTCTGGAATTCCCTTCCTGATTCAGTTGTCTCAGCTACAAATTTTCACAGTTTCAGTCACAAATTAACTTCCGTGGACTTTACTTCATACTTAAGTGGTCAGTAGAGGGGGTGTGTATAAATGCACTAATGTACCTATTGTTTCTGTCATTGCATTTTTATTCTCTTGTTCTTGTTCTTATTTTTTGTTTAACAAAATCGAGAACACAAAAAATTGTTTCCAATAAATAAATAAAAGAAATAAATAGATCGGTGTAAAAGAAAACTTTCCATGGATAAATGAATGTTGAGGACTATGTCAGGCAAAAGCTTATAGGTTGCTATTTCTTCATAGAAGAAGGAGAATCAGCATCAGTAGCATTTGGATTCCCTGTGCAGAGCTACTCCATATGATTAGAAAGCATGGTAAATTCTGCTCTACATTCATTCATCCATCCATCCATCCATCCCAACATCATACAGAGTGCTGATGTCAAAAGACATCTTTTTTTTCTTCTTGCTTCAGGAGATTGTCTAAACATGTATTTATTTATTTATTTATTTATTTATTTATTTATTTATTTAACGATTTACATTGAGTTTAAAGAGGTTGTTCAGCACATATTATTGCAACTAAAAGAGAAGTCATTTACAGGTAAAACATGTGAGTACCAAATAGGAATAGGTGTGCAAAGGCTGGTCCAAATTCTTATATCTTCAGAACATACCAGCCTCCAAGAGTTCTCTTTCATTGGAGAAAGCAAACATCTGGGTTGCTAAATGTTGGAGGGCAGGAGTGACATCTCCCCCTCTGTTGCCCTCTTGAGGGAGAGAAAGAGAAGCAGGTCATGTTTTGCATTTCTGAACCATTCCTAGGAATCTTCTGGGTTCTGCAAGAAGAAAATCAAATGGGTGCCATCTTGTTTTTCTCTCTCAGGCAGCAGGATATTTTGAATTGGTTCTCTCTGTCCCCCTTCTTCTTTGACTTTGCCTTGCTAAGATAACATGGGCCAAAATGCATGGAAGTTGAACTCGTGAAATGGTGTTTGTTTTTGGAAGTACTCTATGGTCCCTTTACTTGTATGGCTCTCTATTTTCACCTTTGTAATACGGCTGCTTTTTTAATTTTGAGAACATAACAGGCACTCATCACAGCATAGAGTATGTCGATTTCTTTTAACAGGAATTCAGATCCGGGTGCTTGATGTCACCAACAAAGAACAAATTGAAAAATTGGCCAAGGAGGTGAAGAAAATCGATGTTTTGTGCAATATTGCAGGGTAAGATGGTGCCAGGTTTTAACTTGTTTTTCTAATCTTTCTCCTTTCTGAAATCTGGCTTTGGTTTCCACTTAGATTATTAATAATCTAAATCAAAGATGATTTGGCAATGCAAGATTTAATGAGTAACAGCAAGTTGATGTCTTCTATAATAATCTTCTTGATTCTGCCTATCAGATGGGCATAAACCTATTAATATTATAAATGCTAGAATATTAAAATATAAACTTTTTTAAAAAAAAATTACCTCTTCAAAAAACATGGTGTGTTTTATACTCCAGTGCATCTTATAGTCCAAAAAATAGAGTACTTCATTCAAAAATCTTGTTGAATTGAAATATAACTCCAAAGCTCAGAATAACTTGCATAAAAATAAGAACAAGTGTCAGTTTGATTAATAGCACAGGAAAAGAGACTATCAAACCCTTCTTTATTGCCATAGTCCAAAAGCTTCCTATGATTAATTATATATCCTCCTGTAATTAATTATATGTATTAGAGACTATGACACCTCTGCAATTCCAATTTTGTGCCAGTGTGTTTGCCAATGCATACAAATTCACTTCTCAGAAAGTGTAAATATGATTGTCCACTTTGTGGATCATACATGTTGTGCAAACTTATCATCTTTGTAGTTCTGAAACAACCGTCATAATTTCAGCATACTAGGACTTGTCCTGAATCTTTAATTTTTGGTTTTATTCTGCCACCTTGACAGTTTATGTGCTTCAGAAAGTAAAATAAAAGAGTTGTGTCTTCTGATGTAGTTTTGTTCATCATGGGACTATTTTGGACTGTGAGGAAGAAGACTGGGCCTACACAATGGATGTCAATGTTCGTAGCATGTATCTCATGATCAAAACATTCCTGCCTAAGGTAAGATTGAGACTTCCCATGTCTGTAGAGCAACTGGGTAAGATGAAAAGAAATTCAGAAGTTGAAAAGTTCTCAAGCCACCTAATATATGTTATCTTTTAAAGAGGTAGGCAACCAAGATACTTTGGAAGATTATCTGGAATCCTTATAATAATCCTGTAAGGCACAGCAGATATCTTTCATATTTTCAAATTTCATAACGTGTTGCAATTGGCCATGGTGGCTGGGGCTAGTAAAAGCCAACAATACACCAAAGGTATTAGGCCAAAAACATATAATTTTCAAAGTATAAGACGCACCGGAGTATAAGGTGCACCAAGATTTTGAAGAGACAAATTTTTTAAAAAGTAGGTGGGTAGATAGAGGGATAGAGAGGGAGAGAAAGAGAGAGAAATACAGTAGGGAGAGAGAGAGAGAGAGAGTAGGTAGGTTGGTAGGTAGAGGGATAGATAGAGAAATAGAGAGAGAGAGAGAAATACAATTGATAGGTAGAGAGAGAGAGTAGGTAGGTTGGTAGGTAGAGGGCTAGAGAGAGAGAAGTACAGTAGATAGTAGGAAGAGAGAGAGTAGGTAGGTACATAGGTAGATAGAGGGGGAGAGAGAGAGAGAAATACAGTAGATAGGTAGGGAGAGAGAGAGAGAGAGTAGGCAGGTAGGTAGATGTTTCCAGGTGTATTTATCCATGTCCTGGAGAAGGAAATTGCTGACAATCTGCAGCACCTAAGACTTTGTTCCTGCTGGCACAGCACTTGATCAATGTAATTCTTATCAATCAGTTAAAGAGCTTTCCAAAAGGAAAAAAAAAGTTTTTGCACTCTGCAAACTTCCCAAAAATGGCCCGTTTTTCACAAAAATGGGCCCTTTTTAAAAGGGGGGGCTTGCAGAGTGCTCCTCAGAGGTGGGGGGGCCCAAAACAAGCAAAAAACAGCCAGTTTTTCACGAACAGGCCCGGTTTTGTCAAAATATTGCATGCATAGCCTTATGGAGGCTTATAGAGTGCTCCTGGGGGCTGGGGGGAGCAGAAACGGCCTATTTTTTGCTCATTTCTGCCCTCCCCAGCCCCCAGGAGTCCTCTGAAAGCCTCCATAAGGGTATGCATTGCCATTTTGGTGAAGGGGTGGGGCTTCGGGAGGCAAAAAAAAATGCTGTATTCGGTGTATAAGACGCACTCAGATTTTCAGCCTCTTTTTTTGAAGAAAAAAGATGCGTCTTATACTCCGAAAAATATGGTAGGTTAGTCATTCTGAATCTGGAATCTCAATATGTTTTCAACTTCTTGATCAAATTATCAACCAAATTATTTTTATTGATAATTTCAACCAAAATGCTGGCTGAGAATTATGTAATTTGTTCTTGAAAATTACAGGGTATACCAAGTTGGGAAAAGTTTGCATTCGTGTCAAATATTTGTTGTGCCTTCTGTGAAAAAAACTCATTCTTCAGATTATATAGTATTTAGATCTCTACTTGTAAATCATTTTTTTAAATACTTAAGAGATCATTTAGCATTTAACATTTCAATTTTTGAACAGATGCTTGAGCAGAAATCTGGTAACATTATCAACATGTCTTCTGTGGCATCCAGTATCAAAGGTTAGTAGCTGATAACAATTGGTTCCAGCTAGCATGAAAGGCAGTGAATATATGTGCTTAAAAAGATGGACAATGAAGACTGCAGCTAACACTTGTTTATGTACTGAATGCTTCCGTTCCTAAAAAAAGGAAAAATTAAAAGCAAATAGGAATGTGTTCATACAATTAAAATTGAGAAATTTGTATAAGGCATAGAATTGCTCCATCTACCACAGGCCTGTCAAATTGGCGACCTGCAGGCCAGATCAGCCCATGCAGGCCATGCCCATCCCATCTCTGCAAAGGCAAAAAACATTGTGATATGTCACATTACAGCCCACGATCTGAGCAGGTTTGATACCCCTGATCTACCAAATACTCCTTGTAAAAAAAAATAACCAAACAGAAGTCTGGAGCAGCTCAAGACTATTCGAAAGAGCCATTATGGAGATGGAGGCCAATACAGAATGGAACCTAATCACTCTTCTTCTTTTAATATGTTTCACTTACCTGCCTGATTGCTAATCCTTTCTACCTCAGGGGTTCCCAATAGATGTGTCTACAGTACTTCAAAAGCAGCAGTTATTGGCCTCACCAAATCTGTAGCTGCTGACTTCATTGAAAAAGGAATCAGATGCAACTGTGTTTGTCCTGGTATGTAATATTCTACAATCTCTGTTTTGGTTTTTTTGTCCTTCAGAATTGTTCAAAAGAATTCAAACTGTAGCTCAAAGTTGAAGAACTTTACTATCTAAGGGATTATGTGTTTACAATGCATCAGCTACATTTGATTTATAGTACTATGTTAAAAAATGCCCCATCTCTGTTTGTGAAGCGAATGGCATCATTTTAAATTAAGGTTTGCATATGTTTTACAGGCACTGTTGACACTCCTTCTCTGAGGGAAAGAATCCAAGCAAGACCTGATCCAGAACAGGTACCATATTTTGGACTATAAGATGCACTGGAGTATAAGATACACCAAGATTTTGAAGAAGTGATTTTTAAAAAAAAAAAGTTTTTGCACTATGCAGGCCTCCCAAACCCTCTGCACACCTCATTTTTTGCAAAAAACAGGGCATGCATAGGCTTTGGGAGGCTTGTAGAGTGGTCCTAGGGACTGGGGGGCAAAAATGAGCAAAAAATGGTCCACTTTTTGCTCATTTTTGCCCTCCCCAGCCCCCAGAAGCAATTGCAGGACTCCCAAGTCCTCCGCACATCCATTTTTGTGAAAAACGGGATGCGTAGGAGAGAGGTTTTGGGAGGCCAGAAATGCTGTATTCAGTGTAAAGACGCACCTAGATTTTCACCCTCTTTTTTGAGGGGGGGGGAAGGTGTGTTTTATATTCTGAAAAATACAGTATATAATGCATTTTATTAAAATAAACAAGTGTGCAATGAAGGAACACATATATAGCAGCTAGTTCTATAAGACTTTCCCAAATATTTATAGGAACCTTTGCTGGGAAGTTCCTATGCAAAGACACCATGTTACCCTCCAAAGTGGGACATTTGAAAAGGCTAACAAAGTGGAATTAGATAGATAAACAGGACACTTAAAATGTTTTCCTTAATTATATGCCTGTTTATTAGCTGCCATGAGCCCACATGTACTTGCTAGCATACAAAACATAATAAAGAAATGAAACTTCAGACGAAAATCTACTGTAGACTCTTCCTGGTGTTTTCTTCTAGATTTTCTAATAAGCCAAATATATAGGTAGTAGTTGTTGTTGACAATCAGCCTTTCAATGGCCAAAGAGGAGGATCACAACAAAGGGGAATGTGTGTGTTGCCTTTCATGGTATGAAAAAAGGCAAAGGGAGTTTGCCAGTTTTTACTCCGCTAATCTGTAGACTTGACTGTAGGGAATGGTGCTTATCTCTGTTTCAAGACCATTGAGCCTGCGCTGTCTGAAGACATTTCCATGGTCATGTGGCTAGCATAACATCACAGAGCACTGTTGGGTGGTTCAATGGTTAAGAGGCTGGGCTTGTTGGCTGGAAAAACGGCAGCCCGGGTTCAAGACCCAAGATCCACACAACGGGATGAGCTCTGGTCCTTGCCCAGGCTCCTACCAACCTAGCAGCTCGAAAGCATACAAATGCAAGTAGATAAATAGGTACCACTTTGGTAGGAAGGTAACAGCACTCTTATTGTTATAAATGAAAACATAATTGATTTGCTTGAAGTGCCATTCCATATCATTACAGAATTACAGCATGTTTGTAAGAATACTGTCTTCAACCATGATCAAATTCCTAAAATAGGATGGCGGTAGAGAGACCTTCTTCTGTTATAGGATTTTATGGAGTCCTACTAGACTAATTGCACTATTAGAAAGAAGGGACTCCTTCAGTAGGCTGACTTTGAGGTATCATGAAAAGCTCAGCAAATTATTACTACAGTCTTCTCAAGTAACTGTGCTAATGGCACATCTTCCCTCAAGTGTCAAAATAAATTAGATAACTTTTTAAAGTCTCAAAGGATGTATGATTAGCCCTTTTAGTCTTTTTGGATGTACAGAATCCAAAAAGAGAGACCTGTTCCATTTAAATAAGTTTTTAATTTATGTGGGTTTCATTGGTTATGCTAATTATTTGCTGCTGTGCCAGGTGATAACATTGTACCCTGGTACTTTTTAGACCTTGCAGTACTTATCTGTGCAGCATTGATGTATAGTATTACACGCTTGAGAAGATGTTTCAGAAAGACAGCTGGATAATGTTTAAAATATATCTTGAATTTTGAAGGATGCAACTGTTATTTTCTATGGTATTTCAGTTAGCAAATTATTTCAGCTGATATTGTTTATTCTTTTAACCAAAGAACAAATGTATCAAATGTCCCATTCAATATTTTACCATAATTAAACTTTGTTAATTTGCATTCTAGGTTTGTAGGTGTCCTACTCTTTTTGAATTATATCTTGGAAACAACGTAAGATTTTGACACATATCAAATCATTTGTAGGGAGTGTTAGAACGCTGATCTGTGACGTCTGATGATGAAAAATCCTAACTCCAGGGCTGAATATTTACTGCCAATGGCATTTTCCCCCTAGGCACTAAAAGATTTTCTCGCCAGGCAGAAGATGGGCAGATTGGCTACCGCTGGGGAAATTGCCCACCTCTTTGTATATCTGGCTTCTGATGAAGTAAGTTTCTTGGATCAGCTATATGGTGTTTTTTTTTAAAAAAAAATAGAACTTTCCTGTTGCTTAAGAGATTGTTGATAAAATGGGAATTTTAGAAGAAGAAACATATATGTAAAATATATAGATGATATTTTATAGGTAATTATAGGTAAGGGCCATGCAGTGATTAGAATGCAGCACTGCAGGCTAAGTAACTGCTCACTTCAGGAGTTCAATTCTGAGCTGCTCAAGGTTGACTCATCCTTCCATCCTTCCAAGGTGGATAAAATGAGGACCCAGATTGGTGGGGGCAATATGCTGACTCTGTAAACCGCTTAGAGAGGGCTGTAAAGCACTATGAAGCTGTATGTAAGTCTAAGTGCTACTACTATTGGTTAATGACAGGTTGCTTAATCACTTTTGGGCGTCGTTCTTTACAACAGAGCCCCCAAAAGGTACCTATGAGCCAATTTTGAAGTTCTGAGGGCTGTCCCCAGAAGTCATGTGACATTTTGGGTGATTGGCAACCAGCCCACCACATCATCCCATGGTCACATGACCATGGGTTTTTTCCCTCTTTCTTTTCTTTCTTTGCTGTTCATTGGATAAAATGTATTTGATTAACACCCACCATGTTCACTTAAAGACTACCATTAAAAAAGTAATAAAATTGGAAATGGTCACATGGTGACCTATCTAATGACTCAGTGATTTATCATCATAATTCCAGGCTTAATTACAGTCATAAGGTGAGATCTATCTGTATAGATAACTGCAAATGTATGCAATGGAATCTGAATCTCAAATTATCATTGTACCATTTGTTTAGAGTTTCTTTCTTAAATATTTACTTTTATTATCCTGATTTTGGTAGGTCAAGGAATAGAGATTCAAGAATAGGGAATCTGAAGCCATCTACTTCCAGACATTGCAGAGTTCTAGCTTCTGGCAGTCTCAGATTATATGGCCAGTTGTGAAACCATTACAATGTGAAGCTCCATTTGGTTTATGTTGATTTTTTTGACCATAACCTACAGACGTCTTGGAACGGTACTTTATTGCAGTCATCAAGTATCACAAGTTCCCCACTCCTAATTTAATGCCAAATTTAAAACTCAGAAGATGGTTCATGCAATTAGCAGTTTTAATGGTAATAAAACTTTAATAGTAGCACAAAGTCACCAGTTCAGTCTGAGGCCCCTAATAGCATAATGATTAGCACAGCAATCTTGTTCTGCACCAATGTCCTTCTGTATTATTGCATTACAGTCCCATTTAAGAAATGCATTAGTCTGCGTGACTAATAATCCCCCTCCCCAAAAAAAATCTGAAAACAGTTCCAAATTTCTTTCAGAAGATTAAAAAAGTATGATATGTGCAAGAATTAGTCTAATAGAAATAATCATGTGCTGTATGGGACATTATGGTTATTGTGAACTTCAGCCCTTATTTCCTTGAAATATAAATCAAGATATGTGTGGTAAATGTGCCACTGGAAAGATGTCATGCACATATTTATTGCCACAATAAATACCATGCAAAATGGATTAGTAAAGAAAGGGGATGTGTCCTTCAGTCAAATAGTAGTTTTAATTCTGGCACCAACTGCACTGTGTATTTCAATTGAGAAAAAGTATTTTAACCTTTGACAATCTAAATCTTATCTGACATGCAAAATAATTCATCTGTAAAATTTTGGATTATATGGCTACATCCCATAATCAACCAAGGTGGCATTACAATATTTTGAGCTTTATGTGTAGGATTTCAACACCATTAAAAATAACTTTATAACAAAAATTGCGTGGTGTTTAATTATATAAGGGGATAAGTCAGATTCAACTGGCAAATAGATTTCCTTAAACATGAAATTGTTTTCGCAGTGAAACCAAGTATTTTCCTTCAAATATTTCTTCTTTTTTTATTTTTTAATTTTTAAACAAACACAAACAAACAGAACAAAAAACATAAAACCATCTTCTATTACAAATTATAGAAAGTGTGTCAATTGGTTACAACATTTATGTGCATCCCTTCCATAGTCATCACTTACAATTCTTATCAGATCACATATTTTAAAATCAAACATATTTACATACATTACTATTATTGTACCTCAACCTTCGTTTGACTATAATTGTTTTTACATCCTTTTATATGAAATATTCTAGATTTAAAATAAAACTATATAATGGCATTACGTTAGATCCTCCTAAAATCATCCAATGACATTACATCTTTATAACATGTCCTAAATGAAAATTAATTATATTTAATAACAAAGCTTTTAAACCTCCTCTCATAGTCACCATTTGCAGTTTATATAAAATATAAAACTAGTATACATATATGCATTATTATCATTATTAATCATTTATTTGATTATAACTATTATCACTTCATTTTATACATAATCCTTTAGATTTAATTGAGTTTAACATAATTTTTATTATAAACTTTCTTTACATCAACCTGTATCTTTCCAGTAATAGTGCAGCCTTATGTCTATTGCCATTTGTAGCATTAGTATTCTGATTACTTTCTTGGTTGGTCTTGTATGGATTTCTCTTCGCACCTTGTTGCTCATTTCGTATCTTATGAAAACTTGAAACCCTCCATCTGCTTCTTCCATCAGCTTGTCTTTGGTTATCACTGGTGCTTCTGTCAAGATTTCACTCCTTACTTCTATCAATTTTTCTCTCTTTTCTTCTTCTATACTTTGAAATCTGGGGTAGAGTTCCAGTCCATCTATCTCCCCTTTCCATGTTCCACTCTTGCCATTTCCAACCACACTCAGTTTACTGTTGATATCAACAGTTGTCTCTTTGCTCATTTTTTCTTCAATTTTTAGAACTCTGTCCTCCATTTTCTTCATTTGATAAACATCCTCAATTTTTCCATCAAATTTTACTGTTCTGTATTCTATATTTTCCTTTCTCTTCTCAATTTTCTCTGTTACTACTAATATTTTTTGACTTTCAAACATAATCATTTGCAATGTTAAGATTTCTTTTTCATGTTGCGCCATTCTTCCAACTTGTAAACACTGCCATAGCATTCAAGGCTTTTTGTTAGATTTCAAGCAAATTCATTATAATCTTTAAAGTCAAGGCTTTATCTTTACTCCAGTCCAGCTGTTGATAGAACTCCTGAAGAACACCTGTGTAAACAATCTGTGTTCTTCCTATTATCACTCCATAAACAAACTAAAAAGCCTTGAAATGTAAATCAAATGATCAAAGGGAAAAAAGAAAAAACAATGTTTCCAAACCTCCAGCCTCTAAGTGGCAGTGTTACTTCTTTTCCCTCTGTTGTTACAGTCCTCTTTATATTCCTCTTTATATCCTCTTTATATTCCAAACTTAAGGGAAAAAAATTATAAATGGAAAGAAAAACAGTCCAATCAAGCATTGTAAAAAAAAAAGAAGTTTTTAATGCATAGGTATAAAAAAGAATAAAAATCAGAAGAAGAAAAACTAACCCATTCAGTTTAAAAAATAGGAAACATTTGCAAAAATTCCATCCATAAAAGAAAAATTTTAAAAAGATAACACACTAAGTTTAATGTGGCTTAATCTCGCTGCTTGCTTTCTTCTGTCTTCAATTTTAATTTGACTTTGATTTTTTGCGGGGTAATCTCTCTTGTAATAATAAAATTTCCTCACCAATTCAACACACTTTCTCTTTCTGCTTTCCTTCCATTCCGGAGCTATCCCAACTTCAGCAGCTTCAATGGCTGGATTTCTGTTGTCAGAAAAAAGAGCTTTTCCTGGATCAATCAGGGACTTTGCGGTGTCCTTGAGATCAGCAGGATGTACTCTTCTCTATCACTGTCTCTACGGGACGGTTTAGGTCCAAAAGGACCACCCAGCAGCAGAAATATCAACTGCGATCTTGAAGCTCCAAGATCGCACGTCGTGTTGTTGTGACATCAGCTCCTCTTCCTTCAAATATTTCTAATGCTTTCCTACCCAATATAGAAATATTCCTTCAAATATTTCTAATGCTTTCCTACCCAGTCTATCACAATGAAACAGATAAAGTGTTCCTCTTCTGCTCCTTATTCCACCTACTGCCATTGGCTTCTAGACTGAATAGTAACACAGAATAAGTAAATGACAACTAGCTATGTTTTGTAGGTCTCTGCTTGAAGCTTCCTAATGTTTTTCTCTATGCTTGAAGTTTCAAAGCACATCCACAGCACAGTTTGTGCCCCATAACTAGCAGCTTGCTTCAAAATCTGGTTGGCATCTCCTTTATCATATGCTACATTCTATGTGGCTCTCAAGTGCTTCAAACTAACTTTGTGGCCTTGAATTCAAAAATGCTAAACAGCTTTAAATAGGAGGCATTCATCAATTCTACAATTCTATCTGCACTAAAACAGCTTGTTCCACTGGCAGGAGGTGCTTTGAGTCTCACCCGTGTAACAGCTCCAGGTGCAGATGTTTGCCAGAGATTCTACTGCTTGGGTGGTCTCTGTTAATTTTAGTAAAAATCGCAATAAATATTGCTGGTCCCAGTCATTTGAAATTCTAGTTGAGCTGTCAGTAGACATCAAGATTGGACCCCACCAATCAAGATTTATTCAGCCCACCCAGTGGAAATGGAGACAGCGCTAGGTGTTTTACCAGTTTTCAGCTGGTTGATCAGTTTAGATATCTTGGAGCCATAACCAATGGCCATAGCGCTAATGGCTCAAAGCTGGGGAGCCTCCTGTTGCCTTTTCAAGGGCCCTCCTATATTGCTGCTGGCATAGGACTCTTTGCCAGTGATGATTCATTGTTCAGATAAGCCAAAACTAACCTCAGTAAGAAGGTGGAATCAGCAAATTAATTGCTGCAGTGAATCCTTTGATGTTCTCTTTTGTGTGGCCTACGGTCTTTTTTTTGCGTTTTAAGCTGGATGATCCCCCTGATTGGGAGTGTATATGGAATCTGCCATATCGGCATAAACTCTACTTCTGTATGCTTATTTGTGAACATTTTTCTGGTTTGACAAAAATTGCCAGAAGAAATTTAAGAGTGAAGAGATTGATCGTTAAATATGTACCATGTTTCCCCAAAAATAAGACAGGGTCTTATTTTCTTTTGACCCCCCCAAAAAAATAAGCACTTCGCCTTATTTTTGGGGAGGTCTTATTATTTTTGAGGTGCAGGAGGTGGTGAGTGTGGTCACCTCATGGCCGCTACTGTGTTGCAATATTTTTGGGGAGAGCTTATTTTCGGGGGAGAGCTTATTTTAGCGCAAGCGCTCAAAAGCCTGATTGGGCTTATTATCCAGGGAGGTCTTAATTTTAGGGAAACAGAGTAAACAAATGCAGTTAAAAACCCTCAACAATCCTCAAGATTCTTATGCATTTGGGGGAGGTTTCCAAACTCTTATTATTCTTAGTGTTCTGCATGAGGATACAGAATGTATGTAACACACTTGGGCATATTTGTTTTCTATGTTGTGCTTCTGGCTAGTTCCTGGAATTACTAGCCCAGCAGTTTTTATCTCTTGGTAAATTGTGCCAATACTGTCCTTCTACTGGTGTAGAATGTGGCCATGTAGGCAATTGTGGACGCCCAAAGAAGGATGCATCTAACACTTTTTCTGCATTGAACTGCATTGAGTGCCAATTTGCTTCCAAATTCAATTGGTTATGACCTACATGGCATAGCCAAGCTCCTACTGGACAGTTTTTGTCCCATTACATCTGCCCATACCACGCTGTCAAGACAGGAATGTTGCAGCCCCTGGAATCAATGATTCCAATTGATGGGCTTCAGGAAGACAACTTCCCCTGCCATTGTCCTTGCCCTGTGGAACATTCTTCCTCCTCCGGACATGAAACAGGCCCCCCATCTTGCTGGCCTTGTGAAAACATGGCTCTGTGGTCTTGCATGTGGAGCCCAGAGGAGAACATAAGAATGGGGCTAGTTGCCACCTTGAGAGTCCTTCCACTGCCTTTCAGTTAATTTTTAATATGTGTTTTAAGTATCCTTCCCTCTTTTAATTTTTTTATATTATGTATTGTTTTTATATTTCACTATTTTATTGTACATCACCCAGAGTCCTTCTGTGAGGGAGATAGGCAGTTTAGAAATTTGCTAAATAAATAAAATAAATATAGAAAGAGAGATAGTTTGGTTGTGTGGTTAAGGCATTAGGTTAGAAACCAGGAGACCAGGAGTTCTAGTCTTGCCTTAGGCATAAAGCCAATGGGTTACCATAAACCAGTCACTCTCTCTCAGCCCAAAGAATCAGGCACTGGCAAACCACTTCTAAAAATCTTCCTAAGAAAACTGCAGGAACTGGTCCAGATAGTTGACCGACACTGATTTGAAGCTACCCCCTCACAAAAAGCCCACTTTTTTTTTAGATTTTTATCCCATCCTTATATATATATATATATATATATACAACACAAGGCAGTGAACATACCAATACTTATTTTTCCTTCCATTTGCCCTATAACAAAAACCCTGTGAGGTAAGTTGGCCCCAAAATCACCCAGCTGTTTTTCATGCCTAAGGCAGGACTAGAACTCCCAGTCTCCTGGTACACCAAGTGAATCAAACATCAATTTATATCCCAAGCCAGTCTGGTTTTGTAATAAGGAACTGTATGAATAGGAAAACAGAGGCAAAAAAAAATGTTATCAATTATCAACATAATTTATTTCACTTCCTTTTCTATTTCCAAATTGATCCCTAGGAACTTTTTCCCACAGATGACTTTATGACGTAGGACAGAATAGTGGGACGCAGTGAAAATTGACTTCCTCTTTTATTTAAAATAAGTATTTACAGAAGCAAGGTGAAAATCATTTCAAAATTACTGTGCAAGATGATCAAAACTTATTTTAATTTCTTTCGGAGATTTCAATCTCCAGTTACAGATTTTCATTAAATGCTTAGTTTGATTAAAGATCCAGATAAATATGAAGAGAAGCGAGGGCAGGGAAACTTGCAACATTTGGACTCAAGTCACAACATCTGGGTGCTGATGAGGACCCTTGAAACTTGAGAGGAAATGCCCAGTTTTGTACCCTCAGTGTCCATACTGGAGATGTCATTTTCTTTTTTCTTTGATTGGTCAGTTCCCTTAATTTTGATTGGGCCATTTCAATAATCTGGAACATTCTAGCATGTGCCATCATCCCCACCTTGGTTTCAGTACATGACCATCAGTGGTCATGATTACTGGCTTGAATACAAAGTTGACACTTTATTAGCATATCTTCTCAATCCTCTAACTCATCTGCTCTTCTCTGATGAAGCATCATTGATGTCCCAAGATGTTAAAGTAACCAATCTTCTTGAAGCTGGAGTTCGTACATACTAAACCATGGTTTGTTTAAATCACAACTGACTTGATTCATATAGTAATAAAACATACTTTAAAACTGCTATTGTGAAATTATGCAACAAATTGAACATTTGTTGCCATAACCTGCAGAGGTCATTTCAGAGACCTGTAACATCTATTAAAGTTGTGCCTAAGTGAAAGGAGAATGAAGACAAACAATACATCAATGATGATCTGGTGATGCTACAAAGATGCTGTAGTTCGTTACTAAGTTCAAAACCAGTTAAGCCACATTATCAATGTGTGTATTAAATCTTGTTAGTATTTCCTATTGTATTAGAAATCACGTTCATTTCTGAAGCATGTTATCATTTGAATGCCAGGTTTGTTTTTATTTTCTAACTTATTTTCTTTTTCTCTCCTAAATTTCAGTCAGCCTACATGACTGGCAATGAATGCATCATTGATGGGGGATGGAGCATATGACCAGCTTCTCAAGACATTCCACCTGCAAATTAGTGTCCTTGCTGTCCCAGAAGATAAAAAAGGACAAAACTACATGCACATGTAACAATCCTATCAAATTAATTACCATAATAAAAATTCATACACTTCGTTAAGTATTTGATAAAGGCTAACCCATCCATTTATAAAAGTCTGTTCACACAATAGATTTATGGCTCATTTGTTTAGCAGTTGTATCCCACTTCATTTGAGCCAGTTCTTCTATTGTTGGACTGGCATTTTGGTATAGAGAGCCAGTCTGACCTAATGCTTAAGGCACCAGGCTAGAAATCAGGAAACTAAGTTCTCATTCCACTTTAGGCATGAAAGATTGCTGGGTGACTTTGAGCCAGTTATTCTCTCAGCCGTTGTGGGGAAAATAGGAAGAAAAAGGAGTATTAGGTATGTTAGCCACCTTGAATTTTATCAAGATAATAAAGGAAATATATAATAAGTAGAATAAAATAAAATATATACTACTTCATAATAAAAATAATGTAGTTTCCTTCAATACATTTGACTTCTGATGAGTTGGTAATTTCTATACTGTTTTTCAGATAAATTTCCACTGTCATCCTCTAGGATTATTATTATTATTTTTACTTCCAAATCTAGTCTACAGCCAGAGTATTCCTTAGGTGCTATTTTGTTTCTAAGATCATTCAGATGTTGCCAGCCGCAAGAGTTCTCTGAAATGTGAAAAACATTTATCAACCTTTTCTCTTTGCTTTTTTCAAACCTCCTTTCAGTTGTCAAACAAATGTTAAGGCTGGAATACTCACCTAGATTTCACTTTTTATTTTTAAATGGCAAGCAACATGCCTTTCTCTCTGCTTACAATAGACAAACAGGTTCACAGCAATGTTTTACAATAAATACAAACACTGAAGGGGATGAACAGGATCTAACCCTAACTAAATCTAACCCTAACTGTCAATGATCTTGGAGTACTCATGTCAAACGATCTAAGTGCCAAAGCTCACTGTAACAGCATTGCCAACAAGGCATTAAGAGTGGTAGGAGGGCATACAAAACTTTTGCAAGACCAATTCTTGAATACAGTTCATCCGTCTGGAACCTGCCCTGCATATCAGACAAAAATACAATCAAACAAGTCCAGAGATATTTCATGAGAAGAATCCTCCACCCCTCTGTTTGCTACAGAATACCTTATGCCACCAGACTTGAAATTTTGGGCTTAGACAACTTAGAACTTTGCCGTCTTCAATCCGACCTAAGCGTAGTACATAAAATTATCTGCTACAATGTCCTACCTATCAATGCATACTTCAGCTTCAACCATAACACATGAGCTCACAATAGATGCAAACTTATGGTAAAGTGCTCCAAACCTGATTGTAGAAAATACAACTTCAGTAACAGAGTTGTCAATGCCTGGAATGCACTATATGATATTGTGGTTTCTTCCTCAAACCCCCAAAACTTTAACCTTAGACTGTCTATTGTCGACCTCACCCCATTCCTAAGAGGTCTTTCAGGGACGTGCATAAGCGCACCAGCATGCCTACCGTCCCTGTTCTAATATTCCCTTGTATTCATATTCATTTCCTGTATTCATAATCATGTCTATACTTGTATCTGTTGTCTAATTCATACATGATGGAATATATATATATATATACATACATACATACATACACACACACACACACACACACACACACACACACACACACACGTTACAGAGTAAAAAAAATGATATTTCCATTTAGGGAAAAGAACATGGTGATATATTTATAGTGTTTTAATGTAAGCACTTTCCTGGAGTATTCAATCATACATATGGATGTATTAATAGAAGTTATTAATGTGATACACATTAAATGTATATGAGATACACTTTCAATTGGCTCTCCTATACCATCCATGCCTGTCTTCTGCTGATTATGTACAGTTCTGGGGCACCACTGTTTCCTGCTAGAAGTGTATAAATAAATTTAAAATAAAGATTTGTTTTCTTAGCATAGGGTTTTCAAAGACCAATTATTAAAGACATACTAGTATGCTAATCTTTAGCCATGGACTATTCTAACCATATAATGGTAACAATACAAGAAAAGGAGCCAAAAATTTACTGTGTGTGTGTAAAAAGCACTTCGAAGATACCAAGGTGAATTTCAAGAAGACAACGGGCACCTGGAATTTCAGCATCAAATAAAACAGGAGAAAATAATTACCTTCTCTAGCAGAATTGGGAGAAAATATGATGCCCAAACTTTGTTACGGACATAAAGGATAGGCTTCAAGTAAGACTGACAAAGATATAGATCACTGCGGTTTAACAAAGGATGCAACAGTTTGCCCTGGGGGTGGATGCGTGATTCGTTTAAGCTAAATGAATAGCTATACAATACAAATTCAGGCTTTCAAGAAACAATTAGATGTGAACTCTAGTACACCCAGAGCACCTGTAGCAAGAGATGCTTTAACCTGGTGAGGATACTTTGAGATCAGGTGATGTTTCTGTCCTACCGGGGCTTTGCCTTGGCAGCAGGATCAGGATTATAAGAAGTCAGAAGAATATTCTGATTTATTTACAGTTCTCAACTTTGCCCACTGCAGCCATGAGAAGTGTTTCGTGACTAGTAATAAGGTGGTTGTAATGGACCATTGGATATTATGTTCATGGCCTTACATGTTATCTGAAAGCAGACATACCAACCTGAAGTATGAAAAACTTTTTGGAGTTTATATTTTCTCCCTACCTATCCATACCATAAGCTTCACTGGCTCTTGCTCCATTTGTATCCAGTCCCAATGTAGGAAAATTAACAGGCACAAATGAAAAGCCCACGATTTTGGGCAGCAGACCCCCAGGCGTGACCAAGCATAGGTGAAAAAGACACTAAGCATCTTTACAAATAATACACCTGCAGTAGTCATCTCTAACGCAGCTTATATTTGCATTACAGCGGCTCGGTATTATGCAAAACGTTTAATTTTGGCCTGGATCGTGGCTAAACGGTAGTTTATCAATATCCGCCTACTGTTATGATCCCCATTGCCAACGCAGAGAGGGTGACTCGCGCCACAAACCACGCTGTGCAGGCCTGCTCGAGAACGCCATGTGGGTATTCTCGTTGCGTTTTCCCTCATCCGTTTTTGATCGTCCCGTGTACAATAATATCATTTTTTTTGGACTCTCAACCCCGGTGGAGCAACCCGCTGGCTGGCGCCCCCGAAACCACGTGGTCTAAAATGACACCGTCCGCCGGGAGTCTCTCATTTTTGGATCCTCCGGGAGGATGGGCGGATCTCCTTGATCCCGGCTGAGGGAAGATCTCCTTCTTGACGCGGAGTTGCCGCCATGGCTCGTACAGCTAATGTTTTCCTCGCCAGCAGAGAGGCTCTTCCCAGCCGCTCCTCCTCCCTTTGCCACACAGAAAGGGAGGGGAGCGTTATTAATATCGGCACCTCGACCTCGAACCGCGGAAACCAGGCGAAGGGTTAGTTGGGAGGCAGCGGCGCCGAGTACTTAACGCTGCAACCTGCGGCTGCGTTTTTCACCCGCCCGGCTTGAATAGGTTGACAGTCGGGACGGTTGATCTACTCTCGACAAAGTGGGATTGCCACGGCATCCGCTTCCGTTGTAATCTCTGAAGGTTTCCTACAGAGGATCAGTCGCTCTCCGGGATCTGCTTTGGACTAGGTAGGTTTTAATCTCAGCGCTTTTCTTGCTATCCGGACTGGGCGGATACATTCGCATTGGTGCATCACTGAACTCCTTACCCCGCTGTTTCCATCCTTGCTCGTGAATCGATCTGTAGCACCGAGATGGAGAGCAAGGTGTTGGAGACGCGCCCACTCCTCTCGCCCGTCCCGCGAGGGGGAAGACGTATTTGGTCACTTCCCACCGTCCAAGACTTCAGATGTGCCTTCTTAAGAGTGCCTAGATCAGTGTTTCTCAACCTTGGCTACTTGAAGATGTCTGGACTTCAATTCCCAGAATTCCCCAGCCAGCGAATGCTGGTTGGGGAATTCTGGGAGTTGAAGTCCAGACATCTTCAAGTAGCCAAGGTTGAGAAACACTGGCCTAGATTACAGGTAGCCCTCGACTGACGAACTCAATTGAGCCCAACATTTCTGGTGTTTAAGCAAGGCAGTTGTTAAGGGAGTTTCGCCCCGATTTGACAACCTTTCTTGCTCAGCTGTTAAGCGAATCACTGCAGTTGTTAAATTAGTAACATGGTTGCTAAGTGAATCTGGCTTCCCCATTGACTTTCCTCAGAAGCCTGCAAAAGGTGATCACATGACCTGGGACACAGTCATAAGTATGAACAGGTTGCCAATTGTTTGAATTTTGATTACATCACCATGGGGGATGCTGCAATGGATGTACATGTGAAAAATGGTCATGTCACTTTTTTCAAGTGCCACTGTAACTTCGAACGGCCACTACAAATGGTTGTAAGTCGAGGACTGCCTGTATCGTAACTTGTTAGCTCTTACTGTATATATTTCTTGTCTTAACTTGCCAGAAGAATCAGCTTCCTTCTTCCACTCTGCCAGGCATCATTTATTCAGCTTGCCTGTAGCAATCTGGTTAATATTTTTAATTATAAACTTTTGTTTCTGTGTCTTGACACTAATAAAGAACTCACACTTTAAAAAAGGAACTTTGAAGTATATTAGGAATAGCACTGACACAAATGCTTGTAGTTTGAGGGAAAATAATAAACTTCTAGTAGGTACTCTCTAGCCCATTCCTACAGGTCTTCATTAGATGCACATAATGACAAATTAAATGAAGATAGATGATTTTTACACTGTTCCCTAGGAGTGAGTCGTGTTCAAGAGCGTTTAATGTTATGCCAGTGCTGATAGGGACCGTGTCAGGCTTCCTTTCTAAATAGGATTGAATTTGGAAGCAAAGTTTGAATTCAAATGAGGCTCTAAGCACTAAACTTCATTCCTTGCATAGATGTCTACATGGGGAGGAGAGAGGAGAAGGTGGGCACAAAGTCAGGAAAATAGCAAAAAAAATTGCAGGGATTGGTCAACACAAATCATATCCACACCTGTGGCCACAGCTTGCACTAAGACATAATACAAACGTTGGCATCATGGCTAGGAATTCCAAAATGTTCACACACACATACAGTTACACTTAATCATACACAGGTACACATATACCCATACAATTGCTAGAACATTGTATATCTGATCCTGACTTTCCTACAACTAGGATCAAAAGAGTATCCTTAGGTGAGTAAAAAAAAGTTTTAAAAAGTTAGGAAGACAGCTACACCTTTTAAAATTATATATTGTATATATTCTGTGTATGTGTGTGTATTGTATATGTGTGTATGTATCATTACAATATAATTTGTTCTTGGTTAATCCATAATGATAAAGGATCCTGTCTTGAGGGGTCCTTGGTGCTCTCTGAGCTTGCTTGTTTTCTTGCAGACATCATCATCATCATCATGTTATCTGCAAGAAAACAAGGGAGCTCAGAGAGCACCAAGGACCCCTCATTTCAACCCGAGCTATACATATTCTCCTTTATTGGATTCTGTGTTCTCCCAAGTAATATTTGCAAAATATAATCCATTTCTTCATTTTTGGAACACCTTATTTTAAAATCCCTATGATACACAGTTTTAAACAACTGCACCGTGTTGAGACACAATTAAGCAAACAATTCAAGTCCTTAAACTATGGAAATCTGTTCTATGAGTTGAAGATACTTTGTTCTAAACTTTAACTGATAACAAAAGTATCCCTAGAAGTAGATTTTAGCTAGCAGATCTTTATATTATTTAATACCACAAGCCAACTTTCCAATCCATTACATTGTTACAATTCCATTCTGCTTTTGGATGTCACCTCTGTATCATTCTCTCCATGTCAATCAGCTCTGGAGTTTAGCTTTGAACTACAAGTTTCATGTCATGCCTGTTACACTAAAAGCAAAAACTGAACCCATCTGCCTTTGTAGAAGTCTTCACTGAAGCTTCCTGGCTGCAGATGAACAAGCTGGTGGATATTTGCAAAAGCTTTATTTGCCTTCCATTGCCTGTCTTTTCATATTATTATATTTTTTTAGAAACCCATGTACTACATTTTACATTAGTCGTAATTAGCACAAATATGTACCAAACAGGCATGCTTTTTAGGAAATTAGGTTTAGCCATTTCTCCCTGACACGAGCCTTGAAAAGGAAATGTTCTTTTGATTTTGCATGCTACACAAAGCAGAATAGCCACTAATGCTCACTCGATTGTGTGCTTACACCTGTTTCAGCACTTGACGTGGTAAAGCAAACGTCATTATCAGTCCAACTAACAAAACCACCTTGTTCTTTATGATGAGATGAAAAGATTTTTTGCTCCAATGTACACATAAAAGGAACAATTCTAGGCTTAGACATATCATTGCTTCTACCAAGCATTAGTAAAGGTGGCAATAATGTTAGTAGCTAAATTGGCATTTGGAAAAAACTTCTTTGTACTATTTTTTTTTAAAAAAAAATCAGAACTGGTAAAGAAACTGCTAATGAAAGTAATTGAGTTTCAAGTTGTAAATGCACATAATTGTATTTTGGGAGTCTCACGCTCATATATGGAAAGGATTTAACATTATTTTAATCAGCTAGAACAAATCTAGTCTGAACATTTTCCAGAATCCATGCACAAATCGGTGTTAGTCAGCTTGATCATATGGACAGATTCACTACACAGTCATTGCGCTTGTGACCATTTTTGCACCCAGTTCTAGCATCTTCATCAAGAATGCATTCATGTGACTAGTGATTCAGTATAAGCTGACCCAGAAGTAACCCCAGCAAAAAATATCAAATCAGTTGAAATAAGCCTTATCTACTATCATCAACAGGTTACACTTTAGAATTGGCCTTAGGAAGAGTTTTGATAGAGGTCTATCCAAGGTAAGTGCAATTGCTCACATTCTTTGCATCCTCAGTCATTTATTTCCCCAATCAGTGGTTCACTCCTCAAAATAATTTGTGTTATCTCTGCACGTGGCAGGAGCAGTTGTAGAAAACTGGGAAGAGAAATTAACTTACAAATATATTCTGACGACCAACGTACATGTGCACATATAATGCGTGTATGTGAGGAATGTAAGAAAGAGGGAGAGGAAGAGAAAGTGCTTAGATGAATTTTATATTGGAAGCCATTTAAAAGTATTATTTCAGAGATCATAACAATCAAAAATAGTCTTTTGATTTATGTTGATCACATCACATATGTAGGCCCTCACTAGACGTTGTAATGATGATCATGTATCTATGAATGTTACTTCATTGCTGGAGATGCTATCTTTTAAAAAAAAATTTGCTTTATTTGCTTTACAGTTAGGTTGATCAAAATGGCAGAAGACCCAGTATCAGGGAGTTGGAAACCAACAACACTATCCGAAAATGCTAGCAATAATGTAATTCCCATGCATGAAGCGGCTCAGGTATTTTTTTATTGCTGTTGTTGTTATTGTTATTTTACAACTCTGTATGTGATTTGGTTACTTTCATATATCCCTAACAATCTTCCCCAGACTGGTGAATCTTCCATAAATATTGGCCTTGAAATCCAGTAGAACATTCTAAAATATGGAGCTATTGTGGGAATTTCTGAACTACAACTCTCACCAGCCCTCACTACGGATTATGCTAAGTAGAGTTGTAGTTTTCTAAGCCACTAAATTCCCCACCCAATTTAATCTACAGTGACCAACCCAATGTACTGTTGTTTTATTATTTTTTTGTAGAAATTTTTTTCTTTGTAGAAAAGAAGAGAGTTGAGCTTGATCTCTGTGACTCCATGAACACTTCTGTATAGTTTCTTGGGAGGTGGAAAGAAATATGCAGCGCTTTTAAAGGAGGCAAATTTTATGCTTTGGGTCATTAGAAAAGATTGACCCTAACTTGGTTCTGATAACATAATGGCCTCATATAACTCTATGGAGTTGTTACTTCTAGAATATGGTGTACAGTATGATATTCTAGTCACCATATCTCAAGAGGACTATAATGTCATTGGGAAGATGGGGAAAGGATAATCTAGGAAATGAGAGGTTTGAACGACTTCCCTGTGAGGATAGGATGCAGTGATTGGGACTGTTTAGCTCGGAGAAATGGCACAAGAAGATATGACTAAGGGGCATAAAAGTGTGCATGGTTGAGAGAAAGAAGTATTCCATATCCTATAACCTATAACATATCCTATAACATTAGACTAGATTTATTATTATTACATTTATATGCTGCCCTTTTCCCCGAAGGGGACTCAGACTAAAGACTGTTCTATGAAAATGCCTAGCAGAGGATTTAAAATAGATGCTTTTCTACTGTTTTGTACTGCTTCTGGACATGTTATTGGCTGCTAGTTTAGAAGTCCTTAAAAGCAGCTTTAATTATTGGCTGCTGCCTGTTAACATACTGGATTCATGGAACTGACTATGGAAGAAGAGACTTGATACTCCATTTGTGGTCTTGCTAGATGCTTCTTGTGAATCATTCCTGAAATGGAATATTCACTAGATCAGGCGTCTCCAACCTTGGCAACTTTAAGGCTTGTGGACTACAACTCCCAGAATTACTCAGCCTGCAAAGCTCCCAGAATTCTGGGAGTTGACATCCCCAAGACTTAAAGTTGCCAAGGTTGGAGACCTTGGGACAGATGGTTCTAGTGATGAAAGATTGCCATTCTCCAGGATGCTTTTTCAACTTCCCAGTCTGCTACGGAACCCTAGTATTCCCATCTGTCTCACTTCTACGAGGTTAGACTATGTACTGTTAGTGATTGGTTTATTTTTGAGTTATGAGTTACTCCGGGGTAATATATACACTATGAGCTGTGGTGGTGTAGTGCAGGGGTGGATTCAGATTCCAGCCACCATTACTACCAGTTTGGCGCCCGAAGTGTGCATTCGCACTTAAAACAATCTGCGCAGGCGCACATTAAAAATGGAATGAAAATTACATTTTTTCAATGAAGATTGCTCTGCGCATGTGCAGAACAGAAAATCAAGATGGTACTGCCAAGGATAGAACCGGTACAGTTACGTGTCCGCAGGAGGTACTACCTATTCGGGCGAACCCAACCAAATAGGTAGGAACCCACCTCTGGCACAGTGGTTAGAATGCAGTACTGCAGGCTAATTCTGCTCTACTGCAGACTGCCAGCAGTTTGGCAGTTCGATTCTGCTCGGTTCAAGCATGACTCAGCCTTCCATCCTTCTGAAGTTGGTAAAATGAGGACCCAGATTATTGGGGGCAATGTGCTGACTCTGTAAACTTGTTTAGAGAGGGCTGAAAAGCACTGTGGATGGCATATAAGTCTAAGTGCTATTGCTATTGCTATTGTAGCAGTTTAATACACATAGTCCTCAACTTACAACCACAATTGGTACTAGAATTTCTGTTGCTAAGTGATGTGGTCATTAAATGATGTTATGGCCATTTTTACCACTGTCATTAAGCAAATCACACATTTAAATGAATCCTATGATTATTAAATGAATCAAGTGTTAAACAAAGCTGGGTTCCCCAATGGACTTTGATTGTCAGAAGCCACCTGAGAAAGTTGCAAATTACAATTATGTGACTGCAAGACTTTGCAAGCATCAAAAGCATGAGCTGCCAGGCTCCTGAATTGTATATCCGTCCTGAAATTGGGAAATTCACAGCTTGTGGGTTACCTACCTCTATCTTGAATGGAAAGGGGCAAAGTGATCTTCATGTTAAACTTCAACATCAAAAATAGTACAATAACACTGTATTTCCTGAAACTAGCTGTGAAACGGATTAGTGATAAACCCAATCCTGCTCCATGTTTTTAAGCAGGGGTAAATAGTATCAAGACAAACTCTTAAATTGCAGTTATAAACCACAAAACTTTCTTCTACTATCACTCTTCAAAGAAATTGGATTACAGCTTATTTTATCTGTCATATGGGCATAGAACAGAAGTGAGCATAAGTCAGATTAATGTATCTAAAAACAATTAGAACTAAATTATAAAGAACCTCAGACTTTATAAACCAGCATATTTATCAACCGCTGTTCTTGTCCGGACATAATTCAACTGTTAAACTACTCTTGCTCAATTTGGTGCCATTATTAGAATTAAATTATGGAACAATTTCCTCCAGATTGATACCCATCAGACAAAATTTTACTTAGAATTAAATCTCACTGAGTTCATAACTTTTGAAAATTGAAAAGAAATTAGGACAGATGGTTGTTACTAATATTATTTCTTGATTTCTCCTCAGGATGTTTTAGATTCCGGAGCCACCAGTGGCATTGTACAAACAAAAGAAACAGCTCCATTGAACAGATGTGAGGAACACACTCAGGGACCTCTGGCTGAGTTAAAAACTTCAGGAAGACGAATATGTGCTTGTCCTCCTCAAGGCATCCTTGCCAGAATAGCAACAAACGGTGAGGGGGGGGGGAGAATGAAGAAAAATGTCCCCGTTTTCTGTAGAGCATATTTATTTGATGTATTTTAATCTGTTCTAGAATAGTCAGCATGGGAAAGTTGCTCTGAAGAAAATGTGACTTGCCCTTCGGCCTTCTTACCATTCATGCTGGGTGTGCATGCAGAAAATTGTAGGAGTAATAGAATATATCATTCCAGTCCCTTTCTTCCACACCCACTTCTTGTCAGCCTTATCTTCCTATTAGCTGTTTGACTTACTCATAGGTTAATGAGTGACTAGTGAAATTGCAAATTCTACCCTATAGGAAAGTATTGATTATTCACAATGCTGGTTCCTTGGGCGATGAAAATAGTCTCTAATAAGTCGGAGTCTCTTGAGTCTGAGTAGAAGGGGTTATTTAGGCTACTGAGTCCAACTAGTCTTGGAGTTCCATTTTTGCAACCCCCTGCTTCTTCCCAACTATTCTGCAAAGACTGATAATCTGACTGATGAAAATCAACAGCATATATTCTTGCAATTTGAGGATGGAGTGTTATAACATGTTGGTTCTGTGAACTCTAAAATCAGCACAACACTATTAAAGCAAGGGGGTGAAAGCTGGGATTAATTGTCAACCTTTCCCAAAGCAAAGCTTGCAAAATCATATCTCTTATTTCACATTATCGTTCCACACCCTTTGTGTCATTGCTAGATATACTGCAGCCTTTACCCACCCCCCTTAATATATTCAATACATATAGCAGTCATCATCATCTTTCCCCAATCTTCTGTATTACATATTCTGATTCATTTCCTTGGGTAGACATGCACTGGGTATTCTAGACCAAGGCAAGAGTGTCAGGGTAGAGTGTTAAAAAATCTTCACCCATGAAGCCCTGCCTTCTTTTTGTGTGTGTCACATGGTCACATCATGATCTTTTGACTCCCTTCCCATGGATGCCTTGGCCAAGGGCAATACTTTTAATTTTATGAGGAAGAAATAATGGATGATTAACACAATTACTCCTCAGTCATACATTTAATTACTTTTGCTACTTTGAAAATTACAATTTGATAAAAGTTACATTTACTCTATGCTCCAATTTCTCCAACTTACTGGATTGTGGAGATTTATAACCACAAAAGGGAACATTTAGCAAAATTAGATTGGTCTTAGAAGCGCAGGTTTGCTTTTTCCAATTTTTTGTTTATAAATCATAATCTACATGCAATTTAGCAATAAACAATTAAAAATAAATAATCATCCTTTACACATTAATATAAATTCTGAGCAATGTTTTCAATATGTTTACATAATTTATACTTTTTTCTTCTTCCAGTGGTAGCAGTAGCATTGATCTGGGCTGTGATCTGGTCTATTACAACCAACGAAAGTCTTCCTGGTGGGAGCCTCTTTGGATTTTTAGTCCTCTATTTTTTTGCTGTAATTGGTGGTAAAATTATAGGATTAATTAAATTTCCTGGTCTGCCTCCCCTCCCTCCTCTTTTGGGTAAGTATGTTTTTAGACAGGCTGTGTCTTTTCACATTTAGATTGGTTGTTGAAATAAAGAATCCATTGTGAAATTGCCATATAGTACAAATTTATACCATTAAGCTATAATTTATTGCAAAATGCAATATTATTTGGTGAAGATATTTTAATTACTGAGAAAGTACTTGTTTTTATTTATTTTTTATGTATTCATTAAATTTATACACTGCCCATATCATTATCCAAAGGAATGGGTGGTTTTTGGTTGCTGTTTGATTTTGTGTTTTGGGATGAAATTAATTGGAATAACTCCTATAATAGGGAATTTAAAATAAATAATTATAAGTGGACTTTAAAATGATAAATCTTTGTAGTACAAATTAAAAAGCAACAGCTCAATTTACAAAAATGTTTCAATTACTAAAATAAGTATTCATCCTGATCTTTAAATAATTTGATTATTGATTATACTCTTTAAAGGTTATCAACTAATATATTTTTTCAGTTTACAGCTTCAATCTGTGCCCGTTCCCCTAACAAATTTCTGTGGGGAGCCATCATGGGCATGCAGCTTGCAAATTATTTAAATTAATTTGTGTTTTTAATTATTCCTTTGTCTGATTTCATTTCGTTCTGGGCCTGGGGGTGGTTCAACTTACAATGCAGCAAGTACTTCACTTTTCAAAAGTTTTTGAATCCCATTTGGTGTTTTAACCCTAACTGTAACCCAGAAATAAATAAAATAACAAAATAATGACCCATAAGCTAAACACATGTTTGCATGTGAATTAGACATACACCAAAAACAATTCAAAACAAACCCCCTAAGGACAGCTTAGTGGGTGGTGTGCTATTCTAGTTTAGCCTGTTGTGTGAATGCAGTCATCATCATTCAGTCTATCCTGTGACAGCAGCTTAAAAATTTTGAGATTACAACTCTGTGTGATTGATTTATAATTTTTGATGATTAGGCTCTAATCATCAAAGAAATGTATGTTCACACAACATGCAAATGCATGCTGCTAACCATAGTTTTCTGAATAATACAACTATATTTTGGCTTATCATGATTAGATTTAGCACATTTGCTACCTCTCAGAATGTGGATGATGTCCCACATCATGCTAAATAATAACTTATTTAACCATAGTGCATAAACTTATATTTTATAAAGTCTCAATGGCTAGTTTTACATAATATGTAGTACAAACCAATTATTGTGTAGCACAGAGTCTAGATCAGACAAACATGGTTTAATGCTCAGTATCTTTTCATCTAATTAGCCATATGGAATTGTTAAATTTATGAAAGAAATTTGGTGGAATGCAAATTTGTACATATTTATTCAGGAGGAAAGCATTTTCTATGCCGTTCATAGATCAAGAAATGGGACTCTTTATAAGGTTGCAGGAGTATGACTCTTTGACTGTATGATCACAGGACAACTGTTCTTAAATGTTTGGTTCAAGAAGTGTACAGGAAAACATCTTTGAAGGCTCTGGACTTCAGAGCAAACGTTTCAGACTTTGGAACTGCCAATTGTGTCAATTAATAATATGCACCTTTTGCCTCCTGTTTAGGAATGTTGCTTGTTGGATTTCTTCTAAGAAATATCCCATGGGTCACTGACATAGTCCTGATCAATGTGAAATGGGGAGCCATCCTTAGAAGTATTGCTCTCGCGATCATCTTGGCCCGGGCTGGCCTTGGCCTTGATCCAAAGGTGGAGTATCAAAGGGTCCTTGCTTAACAAATGCATAGCTAGGTGATAAAGTTGTGACTAAATTATGATTCATTTATTGAACCAGGTCACCATTTGGTTAACCCTGGCTTATTGAGAAACAAAAGTGGCTCAAGCTGCAAAATAGTTTAAGGCATAGAGCATCCCTAAATTGCATTTTTCAAAATCTCTGTAGTCCTCTCGTAACATACCGTATTTTCAGAGTATAAGGCGCACCTTTTTCCCTCAAAAAAGGGGGTGAAAATCTGGGTACATCTTATACACTGAATACAGCATTTTTGGCCTCCCAAAACCCCGCCTCCTTCACCAAAATGACTGTGCATAGCCTTTAGGAGGCTGCTCCTGGGGGCTATGGAGGGCAAAAATAAGCGAAAAATGGGCTGGGTTTTTTGCTCATTTCCCCCCCCCCCCCAGCAGCACTCTATAAGCTTCCTAAAGGCTATGCACAGTCATTTTGGTGAAGGAGGCGGGGTTTTGGGAGGCCAAAAATGCTGTATTCAGTGTATAAGATGTACCCAGATT